CCCATCCCCGTGCTGCTCCTTTCTCCCGCGTGCATCATTTTGCGCAAAACCTCCGACTCGGACTTGTCGTCTACCCCGAGATTGCCCTGTGGGTTGCGGTACGACCCGCTCGAGGAGACGTTGGGATGGGCCGGGGTGGTGAGCGTGATGGCGAGCGCGGCGTTGCGAGCGGGGAGGATCGAGGTCCCGAGGTAGAGGGGCGGGGATGTCGCGGCCTGGAGTGTCAGGGGTGGATATGATATGGTGGAAACGAGGTAGACATACAATGATTCTACTCTCCAACTCCAAAGCCAGCCCTTCGTCCCTTACGATCCCGTTGCGCTCCAGCATCACGTCGATTGTCTGTGCCAGCGCTTCCGGCGCAGGCCGCATGACGACCCGTGATTGCGCCATGGGCGTTTTCCTCAGGTCGTTTATTTGGACGACAAGGCATCCGTCGTAGAACGAGACGGGGGGTCGGATGTCGTAGAGGAAAGGGATGAGGGAAGGGGGGATGACCTGGGATCGGAGGGCGAGGAGGAACGGGGTCATCGGACCGTTGTATTGGAAGTTTACAGGCTGTGGGTCAGTCTTTAAGGTCGATGTCCACGGTGGTCCCGATCGAGAGGGAGCAAAGTGCTGTAGCTTGAAAGGACCTACTGAATGCTCGAAACGCCAGTAATTAGGCAAGAGCTCTACCGTCAGAGATGCCTCCCATCTCCGACTCTTCTTGAGCAACGCTCTGGCGAATCGATGGTGGTTATACCCGGAAGCACTGGCCATGACTTGCAGAGGCCCGTCTGCGCGACTGTGAGTGTGGATGGGGAAGGGTTGGCGAGTCGAAAACGAGGATGAGTGGAAAAGGGAACGAAACGACAAGCTTTGGGTCGGGTGAACCCGTCTCTCTGGTGTTGTCGTCGTTCGCGTCATGGTCACAGGTCGATCCCATTACTCTGTCACTTCACCTTTGTCTGTAGTCTCTCTTCATCACATCACTCGATGAGCAACTCAAACTTCCTAGATGTGAGTGTGGGAGATACAGGGTGCAGCCTCGCAAAGACTATCCCAACTCATGCTTAGAAAGCGATTGCCTTGGTGCAAAAGGCGATCGACGAGGATGTCAAACAGAACTATGCGGTATGGTCGTCATCCTCATTACCATATATCGTACACGTACGCTGACTATTCAGGAGGCGTACAAGCAGTACCAAGATGCTCTGGACTACTTTATGATGGTGAGTGGTTCTCGCCGCGCGTCTGCTTTGCTGACGACAGGCCATGAAATGTGAATGCGCATGACCCTTAAACCCCGTGTCCCCCTCCCCCTTATCACGGCCATTCGCCATCCCCCTCTACGCCCATCCGACATGCCCAACATGTTTGCAGCCTGCTGACCCGTAGACGAGAAGAACGACAAGCTCAAAGAGCTGATCAGGAAAAAGTTCACCGAATACCTCGATCGAGCGGAGAAGCTCAAGGAGCACATAGCCAAATCAGAGGAGAAACGGACGCGCACCAAAGTAGGCGCATCCGGCTCGTCGTCGTCTGCCCAGCCCGGCGGACCCAGCACCAACGGTGAAGGCGGCAAGGACGATGACGACCCGGAGATCAAAAAGATGCGTCAAGGTCTCCAAGGCGCGATCCTGTCGGAATCGCCCAATGTCCAATGGGACGATGTGGCCGGTCTGCAGCAGGCGAAAGAGGCGCTCAAGGAGGCCGTCATCCTTCCTATCAAGTTCCCACAGCTGTTCACCGGGAAGCGGACCCCGTGGAAGGGGATCTTGCTCTATGGGCCTCCTGGAACCGGAAAGAGTTTCCTGGCCAAGGCGGTCGCGACCGAGGCGAAGAGCACGTTTTTCAGCGTCAGCTCGAGTGACTTGGTGTCCAAGTGGATGGGAGAGAGTGAGCGGTGAGTCTGTGCATCTGCTTCTTCCCTCCCCGACAAGAGGCCCCCCCCCCCCCCCCTTCCCCGAAAAGCGTGTGTAACATCCTCTGACGACAGGCTCGTCAAGCAATTGTTCACCATGGCCCGGGAGCAAAAGCCGGCAATCATCTTTATCGACGAGATCGACTCGTTGACCGGAACTAGAGGAGAGGGCGAGAGCGAGGCTAGCAGACGTATCAAGACGGAGTTTTTGGTCCAAGTATGTTAATCGGGATGATTCCTGCTCTGTGTGCTAGTGAACCAGTCCCGTCCAGCGCTGACCCAAGATAAACGGTGTGGGCAACGACGACACGGGTGTGCTCGTCCTCGGCGCGACCAATATCCCATGGCAGCTCGACCCTGCCATCAAGCGACGGTGAGTGATGCGCAGTGTGGTCGTAGACAAGCAGACCCCCTGATGCCAGGTTCGAGAAGCGTATCTACATCCCACTTCCCGACGTCCAAGCCCGAAGGAGAATGTTCGAGCTCAACGTCGGGACGACCCCGCACGGTCTCACCCCTCAGGACTTTACAAACCTCGCACAGCAGACCGAGGGGTACTCGGGAAGCGATATCGCTGTTATTGTCCGAGATGCGCTCATGCAACCTGTCCGAAAGGTCCTCTCCGCGACGCACTTCAAGGAGGTATGTTGATCCAATGCGTTTGGCATGATGAATCTGGCATGAAAGGTGGAGGCTGACGACATCAGGTCACGGTGGACAATGAAGACGGCACCACGAGCAAAAAGCTCACCCCGTGTTCGCCTGGCGCTCCCGGTGCCATCGAAAAGTCCTGGACCGACGTTTCGTCAGACGAACTGCTCGAGCCGTTGCTCAGCGTCAGGGACTTTGAGGCGAGTATCAGTATCAACAGGCCGACGGTCACCCAGGCGGATATCCAGAAACACATCCAATTCACAGAGGAGATGGGCATGCAATAGGGGCGATGCGGTGGGAAGTGCCAGCTCGCCCTTCGATGATGGGGCATAGGACTGAATGTGCCAAGTCGGGATGGAGGAGGAGAGGTGCGCGGGTTTGTATCGAGCTGGATGGGTCTAGTGATATGTTTCATGAGTCGGGAATAGCGATGGGGAAGTGGGAATTTCAGCGCAGATACCCATATGCATGAGTATACTTCCGAACGCTGCCCCCTGAGTCGCTCCGTGAGGCCATCTTCCTCGTTTCACATAGCCTTCACTCAGTAGGAACAACGGTCGGGACGTTGCAATATCATATCTCGACGTATTCCTTGTGACGAACAGAGTCACGGATGCAGTTGAACACTGCGCTTGCACTCCCTCTTGGGAAGAGGACGAACATGGTGTGCAATGAAGACCCCAACGGTGGGACGGTGGGACGACAAGTTATCCGGGTGAATGAAGAATTGAAGGAGACCCCCTTGAGGGTACGGTGGCCTATAACCCAGATCTGCGGGGGTTTACTCGGTACATCATTCAACGGGCAGTAATTGGCAAAAAAAGTTCTATACACAGTGCCAGTATCTCACAAACTTCCACACCATACGACCAATATCGGAACCCCTTCCCCTCTGCACATGTGACCGCTAGTACAGGGCCACTCATGTGCTTTCGGGAGGAGAGGATGGAGGTGGAGTGGGCGTGACATCAACAGATGAAGTGTTTGAAATCTCGACTTCCGACGTCCATACCGACTTTGCTGGCTTCCAGGATCGGGGTAGAGCTCCAGTGCTGGCATGTTCCGCCGCTGTCTGGGCCAAGAAGTCATAAGCGCCCTTCCAGTCCGGACCCTCTGGCTGTGAGAGGTATTGAGACACTTTGTGGGCAAGTTCGCGGTTCAGACTCAACGACATGTTCATTCCCAATCCAGCGACGCTGTTCAACAAGGAACTGTTTTTGGGATCCCGGACCTGTGTCCACTCGCCCTTGGGGTTTTCCCAGAACCACCTCACATCCGCGCCATAGATCACCTTGTCTTCCTTCTCCATGAGGATGGAAAAGACAGGGGAGAAGATGTAAGTGACAGCGGCATCAGTTTTGTGTGTCAGTCCCGGGAGGTTGGACCCTCGTCGCCAAACAAATTGGGATCCATTGCAAGGTTGAAACCCAAGCTGATCCCACGACAAAGGTGGCCTGACCAGAGGATTCTTTGCCACAGCCTGGTCGTACAAGCTGGAAGACTTGCCAGAGTCCAGAGACCCAGGATGCTGGGTTGTTCCGGAAATTGGAGTGCTCTCTGTGATGAGTGTGTCAGGAGTAAATTCTGTGAGAGATCTGGTGACCTTCACCTGGCCTCCAGGCACCTCCTCGGGGTCAACCTCCCACTGAAGTTGTGGTATGTGCTTGGTCTCCTGATGGTCACTCTTGGCGGGGTTTGTTTCCTGCACGCTCGGTTCAGTAGATGAAACCATTGTGAATAGACAGGTCAGGTGTAAAGTCTTGTGATGGATTGGTCTTCAAATAGTGGTCAAGAACTCAATCAAGTGATAAGTGGGAAGAGATCAAACATCAAGAGTCCAAATACTACCCTGTTGGGGGGTCCCTTGCACCAGGCAGGCATTTTGCCACCCTGGCTCCCACAGCTCCCTCTGCGCTCCTTTCAACTGTGATGACAGCCTATACAAAGGAGGTAAGTCCATGGAATGTCCTAGAAACAGGGAGACAGAGGTCCAAGAAAAGTTACAGGTCACAAGCCCCAGATTGGTGTGTCACATGATGTCAGAGTCATGCGGCGACCTGTCAGAGTCATGCGGCGACCTGTCAGAGTCGAGCCTCTGACCGGCGACCTTGTCAGCGTCGTGCGGCGACCCTATCCCGGTTTGCCCTAGTCTAGGCTAGCTTCTTTAATACTGTGATCAGGTACGCTCTAACCACAGGGAAGTCCTCGACGTTCTTTGTCGAGCGACTGTTCCAGGCCCGTCGCACTCCCACTTAGCTGTTCTTAGGCTACCTTTGTGGGCCAAAGGCGCTGGTTCGGGGACTTTTTTGGTGGATAGCCGAGAGCTTCTTGCGGCCGGCTATCGGGGGATAAGGTCATCTACCGTATGCAGTGATAAGACTACAAGCCTAACATGCTGCAACTATATAATAAGGCCGCAGACAAGCTGTCAACGACGCCTGGTTTCGTGGTGTAGTTGGTTATCACACATGCTTAACAATCAGTTCGATCGCGAGCGCATGTGGTCCCCGGTTCGAGCCCGGGCGAAATCATTACTTTTTTTTTTTTTTTTTTTTTTTGCCTGGGAAAGTCGTGGCTGAACCTGTAGTTAACTAAAGTGTCATCCCTTTTCATTCCTCCAGCTTCTTGTTCCCCTCTCATGTCTAATCTCCCCTCCTCAACTCCGAGAAGATGGTATCAATGGCAGCGTTTGATACAGCTTTCGCTGTAAGTACTGGCTGGTACGCGCGGAAGGGTTGTAAGCAAGCTTGAACCAATGTCCACGTGGCCTTTGGAATACAAGTCCGTCTGGTTTCGTGGTGTAGTTGGTTATCACACATGCTTAACAATCAGTTCGATCGTGAGCGCATGTGGTCCCCGGTTCGAGCCCGGGCGAAATCATGTTTTTGCTTTTTATCTCAGCATGGCTCTTCGGTCAATTAGAGGAGAACGTAGATGTTCGTTCTCTTAACCATCGAGCTCTCCGTAGCGTCGAGCTATGCACTGCTGAGATAGCATTGGCCGATGAGTGTGCGGATTGAGGAGGTGCTGTAGGCGCGAGCGAGCTGATGATCTGTGGCATGTGTTATGGTTGTAGTCTGAGAAAAGGGTCATCGCTCCCAGCATTCCCGGCCCCTTGGTCCCTGCTATTCAACCCAGAAATCCCTTCACGTTGTCTCGCCTGACTAGTCATGGACGTTGCGTGCACAAGCTATGCGGGTAACCGTCTGGGAAGAGGCAGTAGCCAACGGAGGAAGTTTAAATCCGCCACCCGGATATGAACCTCCCTCGCCCTTGACCGGAAGAGTCGGTTTGCTTTGGTTCGACTGTTCTGTTACTCGCCTCTACCTCTCTCACGACTAACTATACTTCACCCTCGGCCACGTTCCAGCGAGGGAGACTGACACACGACTGCACTCATTATCGATCGGAGCTGGTAGAAAGAGGGACATTTAGGCAAGATGGGGAAATATTACTGCGACTATTGCGATATGTGAGTGGACCCATTGAGCTGGGACTCGCTAATCGTATCGCGTGCTAACCTCTAGTTACTTGTATGTGACCTGCCCCCTCCCCTCCGTCTATAAAACGCCTGGGGAACCGCAAATTCTCCCTTCCAGATCGTTCCTTTTGCGTAACGCTCACATCGCTCATGGCAGGACGCACGACTCGATGAACGCGCGTAAAGCGCACAATACCGGTCGGAATCACGTCGCCAACGTCCGAGACTACTTTGCGTCCCTGGGCCACGACAAGGCGCAAAATATCATCGATGCGATCCTGCAACAGCACGAGTCGGGAGGAGGGAGACAGCAGATGATGGCGGCGCCGAGCATGAGATTAGGTGCGGGGTTCATGAACCCCGTCGGACCGAGTGAGTGGTGATGGTTGGGTTGGGAGGGGTTGCGATGATGAAGGACATGTACTGACGAAGCGCAGACTACCCCCCCTTCCCGCCTGGTGCGGGTGGGTTCCCACAGCAAGGCATGCCGCTCAACCACGGCCCCCCGGGAGGCATGGGCGCACCTCCTCCTTTCGCCCCACCCTTCCCGCCCACAGGTGTCCCGACCGGCGCGCCGCCTTCCCTGCCCCCCTTCCCCCCGCCCATGGGCATGGGCATGCCTCCGATGAACGGCAGCCTGCCACCTTTCCCACCCACCCGACCTCCCCCGGGCCAGGGACCCGCCAACGGCATGCCCCCGATGTCTAGACCAGGTATCGGCGCCGGCGCGTCCCCTTCCCCTGGCCCGCCTGGTGCTGGGGGTTTCACACCGGCAGGACAGCCGCCAGCGGGCGCTGCGCCGGGCATACATCCGGACCGACTGAGAATGATGGGCGTCTGAGCGGGAGAGCGCGAGGAGTCAAGGGCGTGGTGAGGTGGATGTTCCCTTTGGAAGGAGGGATCGGGATAGGCGTTGCGGGAATGAGGATTTTTTTTGGATGGGAGGAATGTCTCCCCCCTCTCGCTCTGACCTGCTGGACGCGGTCGCGTAGATGACACCGTTGCCGCATGCCGCAGGCATATGTACATGCATGTAATGAGAATATGACCCGGTCTAAAACTCCTGTCTACTCGTCCCCTCCCTGCACACCCTGCACACCCCTCCTCACCTTGTCCGGGTTCTTCTCCCTCCACTTGCGGTTCACCTCCTCGGGCGTGTCCCCTCTGGAGCGCGACATGACGGGGCGATACGTCGACATGGACAGCATCTCCCCGCCTCCAGTCGGGAACAAGCTCGACGTGTCGACCTGCGCGGGCTTGCCGTAGATCTCCCGCATCTTGTTGACGGCATTGCCCACTTGCCAAGCTCTCAGCTCGGCCTCCTGCCTGAGCTCTTCGAGCCCTCTTTCCAGTTTCGCCCTCGAATCGTCCTCCATCACCAGCTCATCGGCCGTGATGCCACTTGTCGGACCATCGTATCCCCCCGCTCTCCAGTCCAGCCCTTCAAAGCCGCACTCGTACAGTGTGAGAGGCAAAGGGTGGCCCATCTGATACGCCGGTCGACTGGGGCATTTCGACACGTCGAGCAGCTCGTCGACCAGCTCGGGCGCCTCCAACTTGCTCCCGACCAGGAAGAGGACAGCGATGATGTGTCGGACTTGATGCCATAAAAAGGCGCTGCCGATGAGGTTGAACACGACCATCCCGGGGTACGCCTCGTCGGTGTTGAACCAAGCGTCAATGACCCGTCTCGAATGGCTTTCAATCTGCTTTGATCCGTCCAGTCTGCAAAAGTTGCGGAAATCATGCTCCCCAAGCATCTTCCTCACGGCGCGGCGCATCAGATCCAGGTCGAGCTCCGGGGAGGCTGGGGTCGGGCGGTGGTGAAACGCATACTTGTAGTGCCGGGTGGTGCAGCTGAACCTCGCGTCGAATTCCTCGGGGATGGGCGACCACCCAAGGACGCGGATCGAGGGTGGGAGGACGTTGTTGAGGAGACGCGGGTAGGCGTGTTCCCCGAGTGGACTGGCGCGAGCGACGATAGGTCGGCCATGCTCGTCGGTCTTGGGTGGAGGGGGTGGCATGATGGATGGTCTCCAACCCATCCCTGGTTCTTTGCGATTGGATCGGACCCATAGACTGACCACTTGACCTGCTCCGCTCACTCCCCGATCGGTCCGCCCACAACGCGAGAAACCGCACCCGTCCCACCCTTTCCCTTGTTCAATCAGCCGAGTCTTCTCCAGCGCCTTGAGCAGCTCAGCCTCGACCGTCGGAGTGTCGTCCTGTTCGTTCTGGATCGCCAGGCCGGAATACGGCCAGCCGTGGTAAGCCACCAGCAGGGCCACATGACGCGTGGGGTGCTGGTTGAACTCGAATGCTTTGGAGGGTTTGACTTTGAGGGGTTTGCCTTTGCCCTTGAGCATCGTCTTGCCATCGACCGGTATATCTGACACGGCGGCGGTCGTGGTGGGTGGAGGGGCAGTGGGGTGGTGTGTCGAAGGACCCGCGTCGGAGGTCGCAGAGGTCGGAGAGTTGGCCAGTTCGAGCGCTTGAAGCTTGGCGACGAGCTCGTCGCGGGACAAGTTGGCGTATTGAGACATGAATCTGATCGATACGAGTCGTCTCCGACCTGCTCCCAGCATGTATAGGGGGACGGGGGGGGGGAGATGAGGGGGTGAGAGAGCTGTGGTGGAAAAGTTGGGATGTGATTGAAATTTCAAACCGATGTTGCAGTGGTCACCCCCGGAGCGACTGGCGTCATTGAGCCGACCAGGTCTACCAAGGCTGATACCTCGCATCTCACATCCCACCTTGACTTGCATCTGTCACACTTTCACCTTTGTATCCACAGCGCTATATCCCTCGGAATGTCGACAAGAGGGGTTAGCAACCCCGTCGTGGATGATCCCGTCTCGAATGCAAAGTCTCGCAATGCTGCCCAACCTTCCCGATCCACTATCCGCTCTCCTTCGATCGTCGGTGGACAGACGACGTGGGCTCACTGGGCCTGCTTGGGATTGGTAGTAACTCTCCTCCCGTATCTGCTTTCTGAACTACACTACTCCCTCCCGGACCCTCTTCCGCCCGTGTGAGTGAACTCTCCGACGTGATTCGAGAAGGCTCCGCGCTAACGCCCAGTGGAGCGGGTGGTCCGCAGCCATCTGAAGAGCTCGTCTTGAACCACATCAGAGCTCTCGAGACCATCGGGTATAGGACCGTCGGCACTCCCCAAGCTCGACGAGGGGAGCTCTACGTGGAAGAGCAAGTCCGTGCTCTCGAGAGGCAATGCCAGCAAGACGGGGTGTTAGACTGTACCGTCTTTGTGCAGACCGGAGATGGGTTTCACGAGTAGGTCGGCTGCAAGTGGCGGCAAAGTCACTGCTCATCCTCAGGTTCTCCATCATGGACCACGACGTGCTCAAAGTGTACAAGGGCATCACCAATATCATCCTACAGATCCGGGCGAAGAACCCCCCCAGCGGGCCCAGGACAGCCGACAAGGACGCGATCCTCCTTGGCTCTCACATTGATTCGACACTCCCTGCCCCCGGTGCCGCCGAGTGAGTCACAATGCGGTTTGGACGTAGGCGTCTTGATTGTAGAGCTTATGTGTAGTGACGGCATGGGAGTCGGGGTCATGCTGGAGATTGCTAGAGTCCTGGTGGAGCGCAAACAGCCATTCGACAATTCCGTCATCTTCCGTACGTCCCGACTGTTCGAAACGAGGTTCCGCTCACCGCAGTCTGGAACGGAGGCGAGGAGACGCTTCAAGATGGATCGCACTTGTATACCAACAGCCATCCTACTGCGAAAGAGTGAGCTGCGGCGGTGATGCGATATTATTATCGGTGCAGCGCTGAAAGTCCAGGGTGCACGCTGCAATCAACCTCGAAGCGGCCGGGACGACCGGTGGTGCATTGCTCTTCCAAGCGACGAGTAAGGAGATGGTCGAGGCGTTTGCCTATGCCCCTTAGTACGTTACTGAGCCCTGTTTGACACGACGGCCGCCCTGCTGATCCGCAGCCCCAGGGGTACTGTGATCGCCGCCGATGTCTTCGCGTCAGGCATCTTGATGTCCGAGTGAGCTTGGCCCCGATAGTCAAAACA